CATGCCCAACTGCCACACCTACCATTCTTCCTGCCCCCATTCACATCCACAAACTCCTACCTCCTCCTTCAGGGCTCACTCCCAACTCTTATCCACCTCTTCACTATCATCCCTTTCAGCGTCTTTCTCTCACTGCCTTGCCTCGCATAACCATCTCTCCTCTCCCAACTACTACTACACACCTCCGGCTCCCTACTCACTAGCCCTCAGTAGGCTCATTCACCATGCTTCATAGTGTAGTCCTGGTAATCTTGAGATGCACAATGGCACAGATGGTCATGCCTCCTACAGCCTGCGGCGACGGCTGTGACCGCGACAGAGGCACTTTCAGGCACAACCCAGCCCTGCCTCCTCTGCATCACAGTAAGCACCACATTGGCAGCATTGGCGTCAGGTTAGGCCCTCTTCCCAAAGTCATGCTGTTGCAGTGGCAGCACGAGGTGTGAATGCCCTCGGTCGCAGAGCGTCAACTGTCCGTCTGCCTATTCACTCCATGTCTACTCACATTCACTGATAGGATAGTTGTGTCACAGGAGAAGACATGCCAGAAGGCTAGACTTGGCGTCGGTCTTCACTTCATTCTCTCACCCCCTCGGTCTCTCAACGCATGCATGCAAGGGTACATGCAGAATGCTGAGGTCTTGGGAGAGTGGACGCGCGCCACATGCATTCTGCAGGACACACCGTTAAAGCAGAAGTATCGCCTCCTCGGAAGGTGATTTGGCTGTGATGAGACGATGATGCTGAGTATGTGAGCAATGTTGAGGTGGGAGTCATGGTGTGGGCAGGTAATTAGTGTGAGGGCAGGGTGCAGAGGAGGCGGGCTGTGTTGGAGCAGGAGCGTGCAATGACGGTGTAGTGGGGTGGGGCGGGGACTGCTGTGGTGCTGATGGTAGGGGTCTATTGGCGGGATGTGTGATGTGGAGGAGAGAAAGGGGCAGTAATGCGAGTTGATTGAGGCTGTGAATGTGTGCAGTGCTGCTGGCCAGTGTGAGGGTGTGAGGGCTAGACGCATAGTGCGTGTGCGGCGCTGGATTTAGCCTAGTAATGTAAGTTGGATGGAGTGGAGGTGTAGGATGTAGATGGGAAGTGTTAGTGACCAGCGGTAGGAGGGTGGTGGATTGTGAGGTGGCGGGGAGATTGTTGGCGGCAGCGGCGCTGAGTGTAGGCAGCAGAGGCGGCTGAGAGACTTAGAGAGCGGAGATGTGTCAGGTGGTGGGAGGGAGGATGGAGTTGCTAGATTTGGTTAGATGAGAGGGATGCCTGAGGGCTCCCCACTGGCAAAAACTACACACCCGAGCGAACCCGATTAGAGTCCGTCGCAGGCTTCAACACGCCGGAGTGCAATGGCGAGCCTCCACCTGGGGTCAGAGCATCGCTGATCACCCTGAACCCGATGCCAGGTAAGTTTAATGCGCTGGCCATGCCCAACTGCCACACCTACCATTCTTCCTGCCCCCATTCACATCCACAAACTCCTACCTCCTCCTTCAGGGCTCACTCCCAACTCTTATCTGCTGCGTATCCTGCCCGGGCCGTCAGTACATCATGCCACAAACGCGTGACAAGTTAACCATCAAGCTCTTGGCCGCTTGTTCACACCGTCCTTATGCTGACTTGCCACCCATCAGCCTATGACAGTCCCCCTTGCATATACCCGTCCGTTTCCACAAGCCTCCTCGTTTGTGCTGTCTATCGTACTGAGTACACGTCCTATTTCCAT